CAGCTCGAATGAAAGAGTTTTAATTTTGGAACGATTTTCGTCCAAGTGGCCCTTTAACTTCCATTGCCAGTATATGATATGAAGAAAATATTACACCGTGAAAAGATGAAAAAACTTACTGACGTTTCGGACGCTAGTCCTTAGCTTCGCCTTCTTCGTCTTCTTCTCCGACGAAGGACTAGCGTTCGAAACGTCAGTAAGTTTTTTTCATCTTTTCACGGTGTAAAATTTACCCTTTTATCATTACTGTTTCATTAGAAACACCGACGCAGCTCACACTAGTTCTTAGCTAGTTATCTCTTTAGTATATGATAAGATGTCAGTCGACCTATAGTCTCTCAACGGGCGGTACTGATACGAAAAAACGTGTTTTCAAATGTAATTTTTTTTTTTTTTTTAATATTCATAATATTCAAGTTATTACATTATTACACAAATCTTAGTTATTTTTAAACTGACTTCTATTATTGTAAATATGTTTTTAAGAATCGAAATGGAAATAAAGTATTTCCCTCAGCCTCATTGATCATGGTGAATATTTATCTCGCCGCCTCAAAGACTCTCGGCTCGGGTAAATATTCACATGATCGCTTTGCCTTCGGAGAATAATAGTTAAGTATTACCAGTTGTTTAAATCTCACCGTTTTGGCAGTTCTTACCATGATATCCTTTCTTACATTGACAGTGATAGTCATGCCTGTTGATTTGAAGGCTACAGGTGCCACCATTAAGACAAGGAGACTCTATGCATTGGTTCTGCTGGAAAAAATAACTTTTAGGCTTCCCTTTAATGTAAAAAAGCCCGTTTAATGCTAAAATGAGTTCATTTGTGGAGCAAAAATACTAAGCATTAGTTTTTAGTTTCTATCAGTTTTTACAATTCTAAGATTATCTTTAGAAAGTACCTTGATGCTGAAATGAATAAATGTGTCGTTTCGTGTCATGTTCTTCTGGTGAGTATGTTTATCGGTTGATAACAGCTCACATACGTGAAGTCCATTATTATGGGCTGTGGTTTGAAAGTTCATGGATCGACACCAAGGAACCCCAACACAGGCAAAGACACAGTCCATTTTATCAGGAACTTGAGTGGTTTGTTGCTGAATGTCTTTGGTGTGGATAGAAAAGGACAAAATGGACTCAGGAAAAGCATTAAAAAGCAAACCTTTGTACAAGTCGGAAAAATCGTCCTTTTCATGTTCAATACAAGTGATGTTGTGTACTGCACACAACAGCAATACTACAGGCAACCAGCTCATGACAACGACCATCGACTCGACCTTCTTCCTCGAAGAAAGAAGTAATGTTAAAAATAAGCAGAAAGAAGCAAACGTTTTACAGTAATCAAGTTGCTTTTCATTGTCTAGAAGTCCACAATAGAAAATTTGCTCTTTCCCATTAATTAAGAAACCATTCAATTGGAAGTAAATTAAGTAGTTTTTAATTCATTTTTAATGAGTTAAAAATTATTTTGCATTGATTCCAATGTAACAATTTAGTCAGTTGGGACAATTATTTTACAAATGGCGCCAGATGTCTTCGCTTGTTATATGCTTATGACAGTGGCAGTTGGAACCTGTCCGTTCTTAAGGCAATATATCCAATTTATTTCATAACATAACATTAAAGTTAACATTCTTACATTCTTACTTAGTAAAAATATAAAACATGTAGATTTGGTAAAAACATGAAGTTTCGGCTAAAGAGCGTTTTCACTCACGTGAGAAGGCAGCCATAAACAATAGGAACTTTCTGCACAGTATTTGCATAAGAATAGAGTTCAATTCCCGGAGGATAGAAAATGTATTGTTTTGGTACACTATAATGGCCGCTGTGACGTCACGCGAAAACGCTCTATTGACTAGCCATCATCAGATTGAAGTTAGGAATAAAGTTATGAATGAATCACTATAATTTTAGCCGAAACGTCATGCTTTTTGACCATATTCAATAATTTCGTTAACAGGGCCACAGTAGTCAAGAAAAGGCTATGACATAATCCATCTTTTGAGATCAGGATTTCTTGGACTTCCGGTATAAGAGCGCATGCGTTAAAAGACTTCCCGATTACTAATCTTTATTTTGATCGGAAGTAAACACAGAACTATGCTTCAAAGCATGATTTTAATTGATTAAATTTCACTTCCGGAAAACTGCTCATGCTCCAAAAATGGATCATGCCAGAGCCCTCTTTCTTCCAGCCAGAAGAAACGCTAGCTCTTCATGGGCACGAGATTGAGATCAGGCGAAATAAAAGCCTTATATAATTGAATCATTACGTGATCTGAAATAAAATAATCATTTCATCAGCAGTCAGTCGTGTCCTTTGAAATGGAAGTCTAGTAATGTGACTGCTCTCCATAAAAAATCGACAAAAATTTGACAAAACAAACTACCGTCTTATTTAGTCATCTTGTCAACAACTGATTCATTGCGACAGGATTGAAAAACGTCTGCGCATGCTCTGAATCCGTATGCAAATTAGTCAAAACATAAGTAAATTTGACCTTCAAACATGCCTGATAAATTGGACTTCACAAAATGCCAAAACTTAGTGTCCATGCTTGAAACTTAAGGCTAATTCTTTAATATTGTGTTTGTTAATACAGTATCTTAGTCTGACAAAAGTATACTCTCGAACTTTTTTGTATACTTTGAGAAAACAAACATTTATTTTCTCACTCAAACTATTCTTAGAAAACATGCTGAAATGCACGCATGCGCAAACGGTTTTCTCTAGTGTCATTCATTGCTATATCTCTTCATTTTTCTAGTGACCTGTCTGGATTTGCAAAGGGACACTCATATCGCACAACTCTTATCAAAATAACAGATGACCGGCGTGCTACTATTGACGATACGAAAGGGATTGTTTCCCTAGCAATAGATCTTAGCAAATCACTTGATTCGATCAACCACTGCAATGGCTCGTTGCGAAGCTGGTAGCTTGTGGCTTTGACACCAAGCTATTTGTCTTATAGAAGCTTATCTATGCTTGGTCCCCAACGAATAACAGCTGGCGTACCTCAGAGATCGTTACTTGGAGCGCTTCTGTTTAACATTTTCGTTAATGACCTGAACGAGTTTGTTCCACTGTATCTCTATGTTCGTATCCTGATAGTACGAGTGAATACATCGCACACTAATCTCCTATGGTATTGAAGCACGGGTGACGTAGCGTTAAGATCGCTGGCTTCTCACCAATGCGACCTGAGTTCAAATCCCGCTGAGCTCAGTGTCGTATGTGAGTAGAGTTGCTTGTCTATTCTCTCTTGTGCTTCGAGGGTTTTCTGGGTCCTCCGGCTTTCCTCCCTCCGCAAAAATAAAATTCCAGTTGGAATCCAGAATAGCCACTCTGTGGAATCCACTGATTGTGGTTATGATTATTATAATTATTACTATTAGATTTTTATATTATTATTATTACTATTACTATGCTAAAAATTGATGGTTGAATATTCCACCTTGAAAGGATTTCCTTCTTTTTCCTTGTCACCTTCCTTATCACATCCTTAGCAATAGTTAATTTTGAAAAGAAACCCCTTTTTTCCAGGACTTCTTGCAAGCCATCGCTTATTTTTACCAACACTTATACCCCTAAATATTTTCCAATGCCTTTTATTTGACTTTACCCAATTCCAATGGATTTACAGCTACTACGTTTTTGCTATATAAATCCCATTGATATTTTCGATCCTATAGTAAAGATAACATGCGCTTCGGCACTTCTCTTCACGTATGGATGGAAAATATTTCATTGAATCATTAAGAGCGAGACAGCCTCGTGTTGTCAATGAGCTCAGCCCTCCAAAGTGTTATTAGAAATGTTGACACATTTTCTGTGCTTTATGAACTAATTACATTGATTAAACGCCAAATAAATGGAATATAAATTATTAAAAATATATATAATTTGTTAAACTTACAAAAATTACACAGTAGTATTTGACATGTATAACTATATGGAAGCTAACAGAAGGGTGTATTTATTTCTTCGAAACATTCAATCATATGTTTGCCAAACAGTACTTTTTGAGCATTTCCAGTATAAGGTAACAAAGAGTTAAGATCAGAGGCAAGATTTTAGTCTAACCCTCTTCCACCCTTCAACTCAAAAAAAAAAAAAAAACGGACGGGCGAACCATTCAGACAAAGTTATGAGATAAGTGCATCTGACTAGCACTAACAGTGTTCGCACGTGGAGATAGCAGGTTGTAATTACTATGGGTTCCCTATGATCCGTAATTTTATTGTATGGGTTCCCTGTGGTCTGTCGTACGCATGCGCGGAGTCAGTCTATAGCAACGCGGCCACAAGGCCATTAAATACGTATGCGTAAAATATACAACTAGGATATGCAACTAGCGCTTAGAGCAGAAATGTATAGACACTATATGAGTTATATATTATATTATATATCATATATTATAAATATATATATATCATTATATCACAACTCATATGGAAGTTAGCTTACAAAAGGATTTATTTCTCTCTTCGAAACATTAAACCATGTGTTTGCCAATTACCTTACCTTGAAAATGTTCAGTATAAGGTAACAGAGAGTTAAGAGGCTGTCTCTCTAAGAACCTCATAACCATTTTGGGTGAAAAAACAGATTTTCAAACTTTGTGAGTGAGTGTTCCCTTCCAAGGTTATTTCCAGGGTGCTTATTAGGTAGGGCGGCGAAATGGGCTGGCCGAGCAAAAAATGTGTGATGCGGGGGACTGGGAACGAGTTTCCTTTTGTTTTCGGCCAAATCGGTCAAACTATGATGGCGGGCAATAGTTTGGAGCCTATTTTGTGCGAATTTGACCAAGATTTTCTGGAAATACGATACCGATGATGATAACCATTAACCTGAACAGGACGATTTAATAATTCAAGGAAAGGACATGGATAAGAAAGAAGGATTCTTTCTCACAAACGTTACAAAACATTCCCTTTCTTTCTTATTGGAGACATTAAGTCATCCAGAATCGAACCATCATTGAACATGAAAGATCTCTTGCTGAAACAGTGACCAACAATGCGTCCAAGGGATCGCTCATTTTCTTTCTCGCTTTAATTCTGTTTGCATGATCTGAAAATTGATTCTTATCAGTCATATTTGCCCACTGTACTAAGAAAGTGTTGTAAATTTCACATAGACGTACACAAAAATTACACAGTTAGCAAATTAAAAAAATCGTAACAACTTTATATCATAATATGTCAATTCAAAAATCTACCATTTGAAAGATGATTCATCATAATATAGCATATATGCATCTTGGAGAGGTGCTTTAAGTTTTTATTGAAAAGCAGACCGTTGAAGATTCCTTAACGCGCTTCTTACGTCTTTTTTCTACTCTATTTTATCGTTACCTCAGCAGTTTACGAAAAAAATCGAAAGCTTTTATTCATATAATAACACTTCGAAAAGACAAAATCTACTCCATGTATCATCACTAAAAGTGATTTACTAGAAGGATTTGAACATAAAACCTTGAATGTCGCAATTTTTGAAAAAGTTTCAGGGGGGTCCCCTAGGGGGCCAAATTAGTGGTTTTGACTACTTCTCATTCATGATATTTGGGCGATGTTTAAAAATCTGTAAATCTATAACAAATCATCATAACACTAAATCCTTCCATATTATAGTAGATATATATCTTGTGCAAAGATGAGTAGCCTTAAAGTTAAATATGAACTTATTTATATCTAGATATTTNTTTTTTTTTGTTTTTTTTTTTTTGTTTTTTGTTTGTTTTGTTTTTGTTTGCTAAAAAGGGGGCTTCAGCCCCCCTTTGTCCCCCCTGGATCCGCCCTTGAGGGCCTCGTCCCACACTCTTCCACTCTTCAACTTAAAGTGATGAATGGGAGGACGAGCCATTAAGACAAATTTATGAGATAATTGCATCTGACTAGCACTAACACTGTTCGCACGTGGACTTCGCCCAATACCCTTTTAGATCTATGAATGAATTAAGGCTTGTCTGAAATTTTTATGTGATGAATTCAACACGCAATTTAATCATCTTTTGTTATATTTCAATAACAAAAAAGGGTTCAACACTAATAAAAGCATCACACTGAAAGGTTTTCTATTCATTACACTCTGGAATTCTGTTCTGGAAGGATACGTCTAAAAGAACAGGCACAAGGTAAGACATAACGAAAATAACTTGAAACAATTTTCAGCAAAAGTCAAAACGTTTGTAGAAAATATTCTTGCCTTTCATCGGAATTAACTCTGTTTTCATCGATCTATATTATATTAGGTCCTTCCTGAAACTCGCATTCACATACATACATCTATTTCTTAATCATATTAAACGAAGATTCATTTTCTCTCGTGTCGCTATTATTCCATAAGATAGAAATTCTCGAAAGTATGCTGTGTTGATGAGTCGATGTGTCGTGTATCGATGCGCGGTTCACTATAAATACAATCAAMGAGAKTCTTAGAATCAATMYRTGTGATCTAATACAAACTATAATAGACTTACCGAATGTGTCCCTATCAAATCCAAAAGAAAAACTCAATAACAATCTCCGATATTCCTCTTGATAACTAAATTTCATAACTAAAGTTCACGTGCTGTGTTAACTATCTTAGCTCTATCGCAATAGTACCCAGTGTCTCTCGGACAAATCTTCTGGGCCTGGTGACCTGTCGCGTACAATGTTTAGTAACTTAAGATTTTAACTAGAAATCGAGCGATTGGTACATCGCTATAAAATCAAACAGCTTTTTCATAGCTGATCAATGGATATTATTAAACTTAGATTTTGCACGGCATAGATTTTCCAGCTTTTTTATTAACTAAAGTTAAAACACCAATATATAAGCTAAAAATTAAAACTATATTTTCAAACAAATAACATTTATTATACCTGAACGTTGACTTTTTGATATATTGCTTTTTTCTATTTCTTAGATTATGAAATCATTTCTGTTCCTCGTCTTCCTTGTTACCATCGTCGTACAAGTTTATGCCGAAAGGCTAACGGAATTGGAGCTGAATGATGACTTTGAGGATGGGGATTTGAACACAAAGAGAACCATCTTCGACCGGCCATCGACGGAGTGCAAGCCGTGTTACAGGAAGGATAGAAGTGGAACTTGCCAAAAAATAATTAGCTGCGGAGAAAAGCTTACCTTCCCCAGCTCACGTGGTTGCCCGAAGTGCCACGTTAAGGTTGGAAATTCGTGCCGTAAAGTTAATGGCTGCGAATAAGAGTGATCGAGGGATGCATGCCAATGGAGTGTGTCTTCAATGCACCCTCATCATTTAGTTTCTTAATCACGAACAGTGTAGTAATGTTATTCAATCTAATAAAGTGATCCAAGATATCACAGTTTAAATGCTTTTTAAATGCTTGCATCCGGGGGAAAAAAGAAAAGCTTATAAAATATTTCATTGTATTTTAGTCGCCTTATCAGTGAAAAAAAAGAGAGGTTCCCCGCCCGGAGTGGGAAGGGGGTGGGGGGGGG